ACATATGCCCGTATTTCTGATTTTAGTTCTGCATTTAATTCAATAAACCTGGCCAAATTGCTCAATATACTACTCGACATGAATATCGACCCTTGCATCTGTTACTGGATTCATAGTTTTCTATGGAATAGGCAACAGAAGGTAAAGATAAAAACAATACATCCTCCTCTCTGTTTCTCAGCACAGGCGTACCTCAAGGCTGTGTCCTCTCACCCTGGCTATTTTCCTTCTACACAAACCAGCTTACATCACACCACAGTTCTGTCAACCTATATAAATATGCAGATGATACAACTATTATAGGACTCATTACCAACAACCAAGAAACTGCATACCGTGCACAGATCAACCAAGCAGTGACCTGGTGTACAGACCATGATCTTTTACTTAACACATCAAAAACAAAAGAACTTATCGTCGATCTGAGACGTCAGCCATCCTCCAAAACACCTGTGCATATTAATGGCGAACCCATCTCCATCACTAATACATTCAAATTTCTTGGGATACACATCAGTAACAATATTAAATGGAAAATCAACACAGATAATATCTACAAAAAAGCTCAGCAAAGACTTTTTCATCTTCGACAGCTTAAGAAGTTTAGAGTAAGGTCTCATCTCCACTTCTACATGACCATCGTTGAAAGCATCCTCATCTCATCCATCACAGTCTGGTTTGGCAGTTTTGACTCATTTTCCCAGAATAAATTACAGCGTATCATTAACAAAGCATCTAAAGTTATCGGTTCACCCTTACCATCCCTTGAATCACAAACGGACACTATGCAGAGCCCACAAGATAATTTCTGATACTTCCCATCCTTCGCCTTCAAACTACTTCCCTCTAGGAGGCGTTACAGGACAATAGCCTGCAGAACAACTCGCTTTAAAAACAGTTTTATTCCAGAAGCGATACACATTCTGAACTCTGATATCTGAACGCTGAGGACAGTGGATTAAGCATGACCCCTCATGTATTATGTATTATATATAGTAATGTGGTGTCTGTATGTACATGTATGTTACTTTATATGTTAATGTCTAAATATCTATTGTCTAAATGTTGGAACCTGTATCAAAAAGCTGTACTGGAAACAAATTCCACCAGCCTGGCTGTGTGGTCAATAAATTAAATTAAATCAAATCAATCAATCAATCAATCAATCAAGTACACGGAAGAATTCTCGCCTGGACCCTCTGAGGTCTTCAGCATCTTCATTCGTGTCTCCATCACTGGCAAAGGTGACATACAGCACATAGGTGCTCTCAGCAAATCTGAGTCTACTAAACTGTCGAAGGGCAGTTGTCCACACATTTCCTCGGCCGATGTACTAGATGGATCTGTATGCTGTTCTGACAACCTTCTCACTGTGTGCTTTTACAATTCCAATAATTTCCTCTTTGCTCAAAGTTTTTGAAAACCTTGAAAAAAAGTACCTTAACACACAAGCCAAACTGATCTTGTCTTGTGTGAATGGTGCAACACTACTAGTTAAAAATACCCTGAAAATCGTAAGGACTCCAGAGACTCTTCCATAATCCTGCGTCTGATGGCCTCCTGAATGGCTTCATCTTCTTTAACATCAATAGGAAGAGATAATAGACATGAGAGGATAAAAGATTAATTCCCTAAAAAAATTAACCAACACAAAATGTAATGTAAATGTTAGGAAAACCATAACACGTGTGTTGTTTTTTACCCACCTCTTCGTTGCAAAATCACTGTCATCAGACAGTTCCACACATCCATTCTGCATAATAGAAAGGTGTGAACTCCTATGTTAAACAGGGAACTTGAACACCAAGTTACAAAGCAAAATCTTTTACATTATGACACATAATTTTATCTGACTGACAAATCATATATTTTGTGTGGGGCGTATGCAACATCTAGCTAGCAGAAGGGGGTAGAGGACTGTGGTGGATGAGGTTGTGTGGGGTGTATCCGTGATCGCATACAGGTTCATTCATCACTGGATCACCATGTCATAGATGTGTTCTCTCCCATGTGCAGTAGTGGGTTGTGGGTCCTTCTGCCTTAGGTCTGTGGAAATGTAGGATCTGAAAAACTGTTGACTACTGTGGGTTTTTAGTTTAATAAATGGGCAGTAACCTATTTGGACTAAAACTCCTGTCTCACCAAATTGGAATCAACTAAACTAAATTATGCAATGATCTTCTCTCCTGTGCTGAAATTTCCATTCCAAACATACAACTTCCCTGGTGTATGTTTTGACATGTCTTCGGTTCAAGTAACCCGATCGAGACCCGCCACGCCAAGGAATTGATGGCAAGGGGAACCTACTGAAAAAGAAAACAAACAAAAACACAACAACTGAAATTTATCTTAATGGTGCACATAGAGTGAAAGAAAAGCTGTAAAGAACTGCATATAGGCTGACATTTAGTGTTGTGAAGGCACTCCAATCATTTTGCCATTCACAGGATTCAATCAGTAAATGCCAGCCAAGTTAAGTTACATATAACATTCCAATTTACAAAAGCCCATTATGGCCAATGTTTAAATTCAATATTAACCAGACATTGTTCTATCAGTGATTCTTTAATAAATTCTAGGCAAATTTAAAATAAATAACTACATTAGCAATAGTAGATAACATAATGCTATTGCCCATCATCCCCTGCAGCTGGCCTCAATAACAAGGCTGGGTCCCTCGCAGACGCACAGTACAGTAAGTAATGCTTTACTTTTGCTTTACTTCTATTGCTATATTAAAGAGCCATTCTTCAGATAATAGGTGGGTTCTAGTGATGTGCAGATCGCAGTTATATCCGTGGATCGGGTGGGTCTTTGTCATAAAAATTAACATTCTTATTAGTAGTGGATGGGTGAAATAGGATGAATCGACTCCCCATTAAGAAATGCGCTGTGCGTGTTTACGCACAAGGTACAGCAGCAAAACCTCATTGATTATTTAAATCTCCCGAAACTCTGACTGACAGGATCGGTTAAGATGCGCTGACAGCAGCCTCTCCAATGATGAAAGGAAATCGTTAAAGAAAACACACATAGAATTCTATTTATGCATGATCCTTGATGATAAAGATACAGAAAAATTTAAATGCATATCAAAATAGCAGACTGTCAATACTTTAGAGACCCTCCAAATGTCACATCATGTTTTCAAGGGAGCTACTGACCTATTAAGAAGAGCCGAGCTCCCCCTGGCTCCCTGTAGTTTGCCCCCTGCCTACAATTTCAAATATTTCCAGCAACAGGAAATAAGGTTTTTACTCTTTTACTCACAGATTATTCATATGGTGCTGAAAAACCACTTAATTTTGGGTTTAAAGGCGTTGTAATGTGTGCTACTGAGACTGTAATGTTAACAGGTATAACAAAATATTATTACTAATGCATGATATTACTGCGTTAACGTTACAGCATAAAGTTATATATTACTTTGATTGCATTACTTTTGTAACACGTTACTCCAAACACTGGTGTACAATGAAAGATCAAGACAGGCAACAGCAGCACAACAACTCTTAACTTACCACACATCACAACTTCACTTACTATTCTCAGTATGTGGGCAGAGCTGGAGGTGCCTGTGGTTTGGGGTTCCCCTGTGGTGTGGTCGCCTGAAACAAGAGCCCGTATAATGTAAGATGTGGCGGCAAAGCCCCCTCAACTTAATGTAACGTTAGTGAGCAAGCGAACGAGCTAGCTATCCAGGAACGTTAGCCACATATTAACCACAGCATAGAATACAATATAGACTAGGCTTCATAAACTTGAAAGTTTGTTGCTATCCAGCTTATGGGTAACTTTGAAGGTTACCTCATAGCTACAGAAAGTGCATCACAAAAACCTTAGCTTGCATCTGACTCACACGTTACCTGGCTAGGTACGTTAGCTAAAGGGAACTCCATCCAGCATGCATTAAGAAATTAAAATGAAACCCAAACTTACCGTTAATGGTGTGACTGGTAATGTTACCGGTGGAACTACACCCTGGAGGGCAACCCTCACCTGCCACAACCGCCTGCTCAATCTCTCCTAGTAGTGGAGTAACGTTAGACATTTTCCTATCACCATCATCTTCTTCTTTTTCTTCTTCTTCTGTGGTGGGAGGGTTATGGTGGTTTTATAACGTTAACTCAGACTCTTTGTTTCACATGTGGATCTCATGGCTGATCCAAGGTCAGTGGTGTGGGTGAGAACCGAGAACCTGTGGTCAATTTGCATGTTTTCTAAACATTTAGATTTAACATATAGATTTAACATTTATATAGATTTAACATTTAACTATTTATTTTACTTTATAAACAGATTTTAAATGTGAGAAAAGTTAGCTAAATGTGAGGAAAGTGAGCTAAATAATCATAATATATCAGAAAAGATTTTTACACTGTGAATTTCATACTCATATTGGTTGAACAAACCATGGATGCAAATCTCGGCAGGTAGCCTATAAAATCGCCAAATAATGCATCCAGCCCACCTCTTAACTGGACACATGAAATCAAACTGTGATAGCAAGGTAATGGTGTTATCGGCATACTTTATTTGATCGATTGACAGGGTGAATTTGACGGCTGACATTCATTTTTCACATTTCGCAACTTAATTTTAGAAAACCTATTACACTTTATAACTGGTAAAACACATCGATAAAGACAATACACACACAATAATTGAGAAATTAATCAAGGAAACCTCGCAAATTTCAGACCATTGATCATGCTATATCCTGTGAGTCTGATAAAATATTAATGACTCTTAAAGTTCATAAAATATAGACTTCGAATAATTTATCACTACTGGTAACCCTCACAAACAATTTTATATAGTTTTTTAAAACCGTAGACCTACTTTGGCATAGAAATCATTGATATCTAGTTGTTTTCGCTTTAGCTGTGCGCGCTCCCGCAAGGTGCGTGCATGCACAGCTCGGCACAACAGATCCCAAACCGCAGCAGCAGCCTTCATAAGGCAGTAGCTTACGCCAGGAACTAGGTGTCCAATATTGATGAAGGCTGTAAAGAAGTGAAAAGAAAATGTCGACTTTAAGATATTGTGATAAAATTCGCTGGACCCGTACCCATTCTGTAACACAGCTGAGAGCAGCGCTGGGTGTTAGGATGGAAATGATGGATGTGTGTGGATGATGTACGCGCATCGGGGATCATTCCTTCTCTGATAGAAGAGTCTCCGGGATAAAAAATCACCATCGCATCTCTTCGCCCGTCTGCCTCTTAATATTCCGAAAAAGAGTTGAGTGCAGCGGAGCAGAGGAGAGGACAGGAGGTGGATAGCTCTGGGAATGAAAGACGCTACCATTGCATCTCTGGACGGCTGCACAGTTCTCCTGATTGAAGGGCCCGCTGAAGGACCGGGAAGCCAAACCCACCAATGTGGGGACGGAGAGAGCCTATATAAAGCCCAGCAGCGGGATTTCAGATGGTGTCTGTCACCATCATCATCATCATCATCATCGCCGCTTTTCGACCTGCAAACTGACTTGGATTGATCATTATTTTGTGTTGTCAGAATAGCATAAAGGAGCAGCCATGTCTCATGGATGGGGATACGGACCAACCAACGGTGAGGCTCTGGCAGCAGGGAAACAGGGAAATGTGTTCTTTTTATTCTATACATGACAAACCTTTAAAACGTGAACTATTGGTAGAGTCTAACCTTCCTCATGGGATGAACAGCATTTGGACTGACTACAACATTATATGCTGCATACACATTAATCAATCATTTAACATGTATTATTTTACATTTTACTGCTAAGAAAAATGGTAAATATATTGTGGATCTTTTGCTATTAATGGGTTATAATAATTTAATTGAGGTACAATTGTGAGGTACTTGTACTTGACTTGAGTACTTATATTTTAGTTTCCATTTTATAATACATAGAAGCAGCTGTAATTATAGCAGTAATATCATGCTAAAAGAGGCCATTCTGCACATTTACTTCTTTAACTTGTAAGACAGGTTTGGTGCATTTTGCTGATAATACTTACATGCTTTTACTTACTTTAGTGAGTATGTTTGCACTGTTTTATTGCTTGATTTTTGAATGTGGAAACTTTGCTATTAATGGATTATTATTTTTCAATTGTTGAATCATGTGAAGTATCAGAACTTTTTACATTACTACCTGATAAAGCAATGATCAAAAAGAGAAGTGAGGAAAAGAAACAAGAATTATTGTCATAAATCTAGTGGAAGTACTTTAAATAGGTTGGTGTGGACATGCTCCACAGAACATAATAGAATAGCACTGTTTGTGGTATCAACATGTATTTATTTTATTTGTTTGTTTATTTTTTGTAGGACCTGACAGATGGGTAGAGGATTTCCCTGTAGCTGACGGGCCCAGACAGTCTCCCATCAACATTGTCCCTAAGGAGGCCAAATATGACTCTACTCTGAAGGCTCTGAAACTCAAGTATGACCCCTCCAATGCCAAAGGCATTCTCAACAACGGACACTCCTTCCAGGTGGACTTTGTGGATGACACAGATAGTTCCAGTAAGCACAGCTCAGCTCTTAGTGTTAGGACATAGATAAGGACATTTTTTATTGTCATTCCAGAGCATCTTATACACTTATACCGTAATGTTAGTTGCTCTATTATTTACAGTTTTTGTACAACTGTACCTGCACTAAAAAATAAGTTTTACAATATTTACATAATATAACGTAATATAAAGGGTTTTCTTTTAAACTAGAAAAAAGGTCTAAAAATGCCAGACTCTAGAGAGTTGTAGAACTCTCACTTGTCTGTATGTATTAAATTGTTTTTAAACTGACACCCTAAATAATCAAAAAAATCTATATATTTCTAGTAAGTAAACTTTATCTGGCCAACTTGTTTGTGCCTCCACCCTTGCTGGATACACTCTAGCAGATAAGAGACTCTAATGATGTCAGCGCTCAGTTAACCCTGATCAACCCTGTTTCATTATCTGGGGGTCAACAGGACATGTGCACCACCTCACTCTGTCTCACTGATACTGTTTATTCAGCATTCATCCAGCAGTGCAAATTATTAAAAGCATATCAATATGAATTCACAAAATGTCATGTACTTTTATACAGTTGAGAGACTCACAAGAGACAGATTAAAAACAATATGGTTAAAATTGAAGCAACAGAGGCTAAGATAGCCAGAGTTACCATAATATGGGTGAAGCTCCAAAACACCTGGATGCTACATTTCCCATAATGCATCTAAAATAGTATATTTTATTTGATCCTTCCTGACTGGGAAGCACCCACATGTTTAAACTCAAAACCTCCACTTTGTAACCCAGGCTTTCTGTTTTACAGACAACTGACCTTTATGTGGTACATTTTGTGCAGTGCCTCTTTCAGATGGCGGTGGAGAACAAATTTTTCATTGACAGAGGATCTCTTGAACGTTGTACAGAACATGGGTGTCTGTGTTCTATGGTTAAAAAAAGGAAATATGCCATTTGAATTTGCCCCTCTTACTGAGACAGCTGATGAAACCATGCTGACTTCTTTAAAGGAACAGAGCTAGAGCCACACATCTACAGTGGGATAAAATTGTAGAATTTGAAATAAAATATGAACAATAAAAGCAGTAAAGTAGAATATAAACAAGTAGTAACAAGTAATAGGAATATAAAGCAAAGTCCCAACATGTTATTACGAACTGTTTGATAATGTGCTGGTTACTGATGAGCATAGATTACTTAATTGTTTATTTTAAATGTGTCTTTTCCTGAGTGCATCTCTGTTGTTTTGTCCCTTTTGTTTTGTTCTAACCAGTCCTGACTGGAGGTCCTATTTCTGGAACATATCGTTTGAGGCAGTTTCATTTCCACTGGGGAGCCAGTGATGATAGAGGCTCCGAGCACACTCTCAATGGCATCAAGTTCCCCAGTGAGGTAATGAAATTACGGTACCTGAATGGGGATTAAAAGATGCTTACAACTACCACATACAGTAATAGACCCTTGATTCATGTTAATGAATAAACAGATAGGTGATACTATCCTGTCTTTGTCAAGATTTTTAGGAAAAAATATGTTACATCTGCTTATAATGGTTCTTTTAGTTTTTCATATGCAGAATTTTTCAAAACCACAGTGGGCACATTGGGGTATTCACACATTGGGGTATTCATTCCACAATTAACATTAATAGTTCATTCTAGTACCTTTAAACCCAGTATGTTCAAATGTAAATATGCCAATAAACAAACAAATAAATAATTCCTTGCAATGTAAAGAGGTTTTTAACAGCATTTAGATCTTCATGTAAATGCTCCGTATTTGTATAGCGCCTTTCTAGTCTTTGCGACCACTCAAAGCGCTTTTACACTACATCTGCATTCACCATTCACACACTGAGCCTAAGTGCTCAAACGGAAACTAACATTCACACACATTCATACACTGGCGGAACAGCCACCAGGGGCAAATCGGGGTTCAGTATCTTGCCCAAGGACACTTTGACACGCAACCAGGGGGAGCCAAGGATTGAACCGCCAACCTTCCGATTAACGGCCAACCCAACCCACTCTACCTCCTGAGCCACAGCCACCCCGTGCAGGGAAATAGAATTTACAAAACATTTTAAAAATCTATATAATTTAAAACATTTAATTTTATTTGAGTTTCGGTGGGCTTGGACTCATGACCTCAGTATTTCTAAATCTTGATCCCTTCATTATCACAGATGCCCCTCCTCCTTTGTTCTTTCCCCCACCCCATATTTGTGGATCTTTCATAATTGCGCACAAAGACTTGCTGAACACAAGAGAAGCTTGAGAACAACTGCAATTGTCTCTCTCATTTATAAAATATACACACAATTGCATATGTTAAGTTTTGGCTAAGGTGACACACTATCTGTAGTCTGTGTCTTAAAAGTCACATGTTGCCTCTTCTTCTTCTTAGCTTCACCTGGTACACTGGAACACTAAGTACCCTAGCTTTGGAGAGGCAGCCAGCCAGCCTGATGGACTTGCCGTGGTTGGGGTCTTTCTCAAGGTGTGTCGTCAGTAATTCATCATTAACATACCATCAGTCTGTTACTGCACTACACACTAGGGGTAGAAAAGTGATCCACGTATTCATTCAATTAACTTGTGTGTGTTGTGCTCCAGACTGGTGCTGCCAACCCCAGGCTTCAGAAAGTTCTGGATGCCTTGGATGCTATTAAGACGAAGGTAAAAACAGCTGTCCCAGAATTTCCAAAACACAGCTTTGCTGAATACAAATGTGCTCATACTGCCTATGAACAGCAATTTTTAAGCTTGGGAAATCACAACTCCATTGCCATGGTTAACAATGTGTTCTAATTGCTTTCTTTCCTTCTTTCCTTCCTGTCTTGGTCCCTTCCATCAATCTTTCCCTGACACTTGCAGGGAAAGCAAACCACCTTTGCTAACTTTGATCCAAAGACTCTTCTACCTGGTTCTCTGCATTATTGGACCTATGATGGCTCTCTGACAACACCCCCCCTGTTGGAGAGTGTCACCTGGATCGTCCTCAAGGAGCCAATCAGTGTCAGCCCTGCACAAGTAGGCTACTTAACTTGCTTCACATACTCACTCACTTTACCTACATATAATTAAAATTAGTGAAGAAAACACACACACACACACACACACACACACACACACACACACACACAAATCAGACAAAGCTCATGTGCAGGAAATGAGGACACACGAACACATGATTGAACTGAAAGCATGCCTTCTGTAGCTCTTACATAAAGGTCTTAGAGCACAAATACACTTGCTTTAAACTAATTGTGCATGATTTCTATCTTGCGTATCAAGTACTACTTTTCAGTATTGTTTGTGTTCTCAGAAATCGATGCGATTAGGTCCCATGAACTATGACAGGCAGTGTATCAGGTTGCAAAATAAGGTCGGAGGAATACAAATACTAATAGAGCGTATTTCGGCTGTGCCTCTCTTGCTTTGATCTTGGAACATAGACAATATAGTAACCTTAAGTGTCAAGTTTTGGTCTCTTAACGTTCTCAATGAAGATATTGCTGTGTTTTCTAGGGATATTTTGTAATCCTCCAGGGACACAATATGCAGGGAAATATGTGAACATATATTGTAGCTACTTGTCTATGACTATGCATAGTTAAAATCAAGAATATCTCAAGCTTTAATCTGTGAAAATGAATATAACATCCAGATATGGGTGTGACATGTACTGTTAACATATAAACACTATCTGTGAATCGACATACTGACCAATTTCTTCATGAGTCATTCCTGATTAATTCTGAACCAGATGATGAATGGCCTAAAACTATTAAATACTCACTACACTTTATTTATTTTTAAAGTATTTTCGTAATTGGACTGATAAGCCTATTGGCTTATACACTTTACGCTTTGATTTGGCAATCGTCTCATGAAGTGTTTGTGCATGGTCAAAGGAGGCAAAATGTTGTTCAAACATGGTTAAGGTCATGAGTGTAAGAAGCCATATCTTGCTTTAGAGCAGGGTGGGTCTGAGTCTGGAATATCATGTGTTTCACTGAGATTACACTGACAGCCTGTATCAACAGTGGACAGTTTTCACTCTGTCTCTTAACATAACTGATGCCGCCACATTGTATATTCATGTGACATAAAACCCACAGAGTAGGTAATGGGCCTTTTCCTCTAAAGTTGTAATGCTCTGTTTTCCCTCCCTATATAAAACCTAGATGCACAATCATAAGATGCCCAAATGAAATGAAAAAGAAATATACTTAACACACACTTTTTTTGGATGCACTTATCACTTTTTAATTGTACTATACTAAGTGTATATTAAATGTGTTATTTTGGAACAACTTAAAGTATGGTAAGTGTCATTTTAGAAATACTTAAAGTCAACTTTAAGATAATTGTAGTATATTTTAATATACTTAGTTGTGTCAAAATGGACCTACTTTAAGTAACTTTAAATATACTTCTTTAAATTTAACTTAAAATACCCTTTTGTGCTATAGTTGAAGAACATTTTAAATATATTTTAAACTTCACATAAATGCGTTCCCTGAACATTTTTATAAGCATTTCAGCTTATTAGTAATTTATTACTAGTATACTCCAAGAGCCAATATTAATATCTTGGGAAAATGCTTTATGAAACCATTCAGTATGAGAATAATGCATTAAAAATACCTTGCAAAATGACCTTTTAGTATAAAAACAGTAAAAATGTATTTTACAACACACACACATACAGACAACTAATAAACCTTAATTTTGTGGACATTACAAAAATAAATTCCTGTACATTAAAAGGTACAGCAGCATGTATCACATCTTTACCAAAACACCTTCAAATAAAAATAAAATCTGTAAAATGATGACATATGATCAGTATTACCGAAAAGTACACCATACACATCCCATCATTAACACAGGTCTACAGGGTACCAAACATGCAATTTTGACAGCAAAGCAAAAGAGCCAGGCTCGTTGGTATGGCAGTCCAAGCGCTTACTCAACTGTAATGAAGGTACTACGTCACAAGCATACAGTACAAATGGTGGAACCAAACTGAAACTGAAAAATGTCACAATCCTTATCCTTGGAGCTTTATCACACAGCATCTGTGGAAGGGAAAAGGAAATATTTTGACTATATCAAAGCAATATTACCTCTAATTAAAACAACCACTGTCAGATTTTTTATTTTGTTTAAAGTTGCTGAAACACAATATGACATCATGTCTAATAATACTAACCGTTTAGGTTCAGGTGAAATGGTTTTCCACAAGGGACCCCTCCCAGTTAATGCTCAGTTCTTCCATTACAACATGATCAAAAACATTACATAAACACTAGCCAATGAGCTGTATATGATAAAATGTTATTAAACGGGTACAACAAATAACAACTGTGCTGTCCACATGTAATTTCACGTTAACACAGCAGTCAATTTGTGAAGTGCAAAAGTAGTCAACAATATTTTAAATAAAATTATTTTTTCCCAAGAATATTTGTTTATTTAGTCTGACCCCGTTGACATGTAGTCAGAGAAAAACAGTGATGGTGTGCAGGAGCCAGACATATCTATGAGCACATTGAGCTTGTGAGGGTCCAGCTGGACCTTTGAGGTTTTCGTGGCCTCTAAGCCATCTGAGTGAGGCAACCCAGGATGCTCTAAAAGAAAAGAAATGCAGTTGCAAATGAGTTTAAATATTCAGTTAGGCCAGTACTTCCACCTTATTTAGTTATTCATTTGCGTATCATTATAAACACTGTAATTTTATTCTTATAGCAAATCTTTATTATTATTCTTTATTTAATTTTCTTGAGCTAAGGCAGGAAATTCCAACTCTGGACTTAGCAATAGTTGGTTAAAGTTGGCAAAGGGTAGGTTCAAGTTTTAAAAGTTGAACACAGGATCTATGACCATACAAAGAGCAGTATTGAGCAGTATTTTATATAACATCACATTATATTAAATCGTGTGGTGTGGCATTGCAGGACACAAAAACATTATTTCAAGCGTGTCTTAAAACAATTCTCACATATCCGTGTACACTTTAACATGTTATAACTGAGTTATTGGTCACTGTAATGATTACCCCCTCCATGGCTCAGTGAAGAGAAATCTCTAAAAAACAGTGTACCTTTAGAAGATATCCATTTTTGAATAGTATAATGCAGATGCTTAGCTGATGATTCATAGTAGCTTCAGCTAAACTTTAGAATGAATTTATACAAAAATGACAACTGTGGTGATGTCTTTACAGACTATATGGGCAGGAATAATGATTACAGTGAACAATAACTTCCTGTAAACATAGACATGTGAGTATTAAGGTAGACTATAAAAATGTGAACCTATTCTTTAGCACACAGAGAGAAATATATTAGTTGCATTTATTACCTTGATAATTACCTCACTGGTCATTTTAACGGTGCAAAAGCACAATTGAGGGCTCATATACACACATATACAGGCCTGTCTTGTTAAAATCTCATGCATAAAATTCCAGCAACAGGGTTACTGAGATTGAAATTTTAGTAACATTAAAAACTGCCCTACAGCAAAAAGCAATACTGTAACGTTAATTACGTTACTTTTGTAACGCGTAACTCCCAACACTGTTTATAAGGCAGACAAAAGTTGCTGTCTCGATTAAGAAGCTATTAAAATGCTAACTAACGTTGACGCTGACCGGATATTCTTCTCTTCTGTGTTCTTTTCTTATTATGTCTGTGGTGTCCACCTTTGCCAAGTCCGAGTCGATAAAGTAAAACAAAGGAAATCTGAGAAACAAAATGATTTCTGACCAAATTAGCTTCCCTCTCAACGACAGTAAACACATTAACTTTCGTAAAGCGGACTTTCACGCCGTGTGATTGGGTTGTCGATTTGAAAACCTTGATTCTGATTGGTCAAATTGAATGCACTGCTAGTGGGCTGGGCGGGAGGGCACACTTCGCCCCTGTGTACACATGTGTTCACTGTTTACAAACAGAAACAAGTATAACTACATTATGATTTAAAGTATGCTTATTTCTATATGTTGTTGTTTCTTAAGTTAATAAGTGCTGCTTCCTTCTAGGCCAGGTTACCCTTATGTAAGAGGTCTCTGATCTCAACTAGCTATTTACCTGATTGAAAAATAAATAAAAAAGAAAATAAATAAAAAAAAAAAAAGAAATAATATGCATTTGAAAAATACATTTTAATGTTAAAAAAATATGTTTAAAAAATCTTCTAGAATTCAGGCTGAAGCATGTGGCAATTACATAAATAATTACAATATTTTGCAGTAGCCTACACAGTGAAGCATATTTGGCATAAATATATTTTTAACCCACTAAAAGTGCAATTGTTTAACAATGTACTTTCACAAAGTACACTTAAATAGTATTTACTAAGAGTTAAATAAATATATTTTTAATAAATAGACTAAAATGTTGTGAAAAATATGTTTTTATTTAAGCATATTGATTAAAATTTTAATTAAGTATATGTATATAAAATATACTTTTGAGAAGTATGTTAAAGCTCAGGAGAATATATCTTTAATATTAATATACATTTTCAATGCCTTTAAGAGCACTTCTTTTTGACCTGGGTGTGCTTTCATATAGAAATATTTCCTTTCTGCAATGTAGAAATAAATACACAGATACACTAAAATACAGTGCAGCTACCTCAGCAGAACTGCAAGCATTGCTCATTGAGCCTGCTGAGGAAATGTAATTCAAGCACAAAAGCTACCTAAAAGCTAAATGGCTCCCGGAGGAGTTGTTTATGCCACACTGCTACTTTAGTTGTTTCAGACACACACAGCCAGATCTTTTAAACTCAGACAATGCACCAACAATGTATTCTTGACCGCAGTAGCTCATTGTTCAGAGATTTGGTTTGTTTTGCAGAGGGAAATGAAGGTTGTTTAATTTCACAGCTTCCTTAGACCTCTTAATGCTACAATGTGAAGTATGGGACTAGTTTCAGTCAAAGGTGTAGGTTTCGTTTCAACATTAAACAGGGCTTTAGGGGTGCAGCCCCTGAGTGTTAAATACTAGATACTG